GGAAAGGAGGGCAGCCTGCAGGCCCCATTTGTTAAGGAATGCTTTGTGCCACTTGAGGCAGGACACGGCTAGCCCTGGGAGATCCTCCTGAGAGCCGGCAGCCCCTTGTGGTGCTCTTCCTTCCCTCTGCCATCCCGCTGCTCCACGGGGTGAGGTGGGCATGGGGCAGGGGCCTGGGCCCTGCCGTGATCCTGGGAAAGGGAGATGGTGGCTCCCTGCCATGGTGTTCCCACCATCCATTTTCGGCTTTCCTGGCCTTTTTGCCTATTTAGGCAATGAGCTGTCAGGAGGAGGAAGTGCCTGTGGTAATAATGTACATCTTTTTTTTTTTTTTTTCCCCCGCTTTAGCAGGGAACAGCTTTTCCCTGTGTCCCTGGAGGTGCCTAACCCATAATAACCATGTTTTTCGTACTTCACAGAAATGCGTGAGGAAATTGTCCCGATTATTTCTTCCACAGGCTGCTCGGGAGCCTGTGGGTATCGAAAGGCGGATCGAGAGGGTGTTGTTTGCTATTCTGCTTTCCAGGCATTTGATGTCAAGAGCTAGACGGAGGGAAAACACAGCACCCTGTCCCGGCTTTTGACTGAAACAGTGGGAGTCTTTAATAGCTTCTGGTCGGGTCGGGTTTAGAAATCAGCTAACAGGAAAAGGGAACATCGTTTTTTTTGTTTTTTTTTTTTTTAATTCTCGTGCATTTCTGCCAGGCCTTTGTACTGAGGTTGTTTGCTGATTTTTGTTTTACAAGGAGCTTCCATGTCAGATAAACTTTATCCCTTTTTTTTCTTTTTTTTTTTTTACAAATTTATCTCCACGGCTGGAGCCTGTAATTATTCAGCTTGCTCAGTAGTTTTATCAGTAGGAACAGCATTATTTTGGCTACAAATGCAACGAGGCAGACTTGCTTTAAGAACATTCGATTTTTCTTTTATTTTCTATTAATTGCGGAGGTTGCTTTTGCTTTGCGCTGTTCTTTTTGCCTGTCCAAATGCGTGCTCTGTGTCCTCCTCAAGCAGTGCCCTTGCTGCTTTTCACAGGGTAGACCTAGGAGTTTTTGGGGAAGTTTTTCAACTTGGTTGCCCCTCTGTTCATAATTGTCAGCATGGAATAACGGGAGGTTGGAGAGGTTTTCCAAAGACTGTGTGCAGGATAATCCAAGCATACAAGTCGTGAGTCACGCCTGCTGCCTTCCTTCCTTAACTAACTTGTGACGTTGTCCCCCGGTCTGCTTTCGTGCCATTTAGCTGGGGAGCAGGCTTCCAGGAACAGTCCCCCAAAAGGCACATCCATGCAAGGAAAATGTGCCAGCAGAAGTGCATCGCTGTGCAATGCATATCTTGGGTATTTAGGGGGGGAGGAGGTAAGCGAACAGGTAGCATGCCTTTTGCATTTCATTTGCATAGCTCTTTGATAACACTAAGGCTTCTTGGGGATAAAAAGTAAAAAAAAAAAAACCACGCTTAAACCAGCACATGACACTACTTGCCTTTGAACCTTTCCCAAACAACAAAAAAAAATTACAGTAGCAATGTGTGCAGAGGAGGAAAGAGGCAAGAAGTAGGTGTGCTAACTGACGTGGGGAGTGTGGGTCGGCCTGAAATTTATAATGTTCTGCAGATCTTGGCAGTCGACCAAGGATTCCCCTTGTCCCCTCTGCTATTCACGATGCTGAAAGCCCACTGAGATGAGAAATAAACAGCATATTGCTATCAGACATGGCTGGGAATATGGTTAAGTAATGGATCCAGTGCAACATCCAGTTCAATGTTGCAGGGTTGACGGGGAGAGCTGTGTTTCAAAACCCTCTGCATGTAAATGAAAACCCTGTCATCCCGCAGGAGAAGAAGCAGGACGAGGTTTTGGGTCAGCAGGCTGGGCCCCATTGACTTGCTCAGCCCAGTTCTGTGTTTGCCCAACAGCCCACTTAAAAATAGAAGGGAGCAGCAGCTACAAAAATATCTTTGCATTCCTTCCTCGGGAGGATAACCAAGTGCTTCAGCATGAATAGATGCATGGCAAGAGGGAAGGGACAGGGGAGGGCGTGTAAGAAACAGCAAGGGATTTGGAAATTCTGCTTAGGGAACTTCTTAACATGGCCTAACTGCAGGGGATGCTCTTATCTGGGAGGGTGGTGGCCGGGCTCAGCTGCTGGGCACCCCGTGTGTGGGGTAGGGGTGCCCTGGGACACCCCGTGGGGGACACGGCTCCACATAGCACTAAGGCAGGGGCATCGTTGGGCATGAAAAATGTCCTGCTGGAGGGACAGACAGCGCTGAGATGCTGCATGGACGTGGTCTTGATGCCTGCTGTGTTCACATGGTGCCCAGGGTGGTGGGCTCGAATGCATTTTTACCCCCAGAGATGGAGTCCTGCAGGCTTCTCCCAGCAGTTCCTTCAACATATTCAACCACTTCTATATTTATTATTATTTTTAAGGTGGAGAAAGCTTTCCAAAGTGCAGGCCAGCCAGGAATATCGGACTATCAGTCTCTCAAAAGCAGGAGCCCTTGGCCGGTTTATGTTGCAAGAGAAATTGCAGCGGCGGGCGGAGAGTTTGACAAGTCTGTTCCTGAGCAGGGCGGTGAGGCAGATAAACAAACAAACACCAGCTCCGCTCCTGCTTACATGTTGTGCCTGTGCCGTTTGCTTTTTCCCCCTTTTTCTGCTTGGAAAAATGGTTTTAATAAAAAGAATGTGACTTGGAAATGTCCTTTTCCTTCTCCCATATAAATCAGTTTGTCACGCTGCACCCCCCAGTCATGTTGTAGATGCTTATAGGAGCGCTCCATACGTTATGACGAAAGGGTATTTGGAGCAATTTTTAACGATAATTCGGAACTGACCGGGGTTTAAATTTGGCCTGAGATCCCGAGAAGCCCACGTTTCCCACAGTCCGCAATTCCCCTGCCTTCCAGTCCCTCAGGAGGCTGCTGGAGGAGCTTTTCCCCTCCCCACCACAGAGGCAGCGAAATGAAACGCCAGCTCTGGCCTCAGCTCCCCGCGCTTCAATAGCAGGCGGCCGAGGCATCGGCAGGACCCCGAGCAGCTTTTTTGTACTGGAGAGAAGCTTTTTTAGACTGGAGAAGCTTTCCTATACTGGGGGGCCGGCAGGGCTGCTGTGCATTACTCATGGCCGTGGGCCGCTCTCGTGGGGAGGAATGTTGTCTCGAGGAGAAGCTGCGAGGCTGAGCCCTGGGAAATCTCAGGATCCTCGCTGGAAATAGCCGGCCCAGCAGTAGTTAGAGGGTTTAAAGTGATAAATAAAGCAATTTTTCTTTTTTTTCTGAGCTTTTTTTTTTTTTTTTTCCCCTCTGAGATGTCCTTGTTCCTCTCTTATCTTTAGCCTGCTCTGCTTGTTCCTCAAACCGCGCTTCCCGGCGTCCTTGGACCTTTTAATTCCCTCCCCAGAGCCGCGGAGAATAAGGGCAGAGCCAAGAGAGGAGGCATCTTTCCACCTCGGTCGAAGGCATTTTCCCCTCCTCCTTTGGCAGGAGGGTGAGCCTCGAGGAGACCACCGCAGCCTTTTGCCATTAGGCAGAGGTCCAGGTGGGATGTTGGAGTTGCATCTCCCCAGGGCTCGCCGAAAGGCTCAAGAATTAGTAGGGTCGAGGTGAGGTCGATCTTGGCCATTGCGCACACATGTTACGACCCTAATTTAGTTTCAAAATCCAGCCTAGCTTGAGACCAAACTGTAAAAAGAAAGGCGTGCAATAAAGAGACTTCAGAGAGCAGGCAGAAGCCCGAGTACAGTAATTTATTTATAGAAAGCACGTGGATCGGGTAATGGGGGGAGAGTGCAGCACAGCGCGACTCCTAAAAGGAGCTGGGGGCAGAGATTTCTGCGGGATTTCACCCGAGCTCTGGGTGATGCAGCATCAGCAGCGCTGGGCATTGCCTCTCCGGGGGCACCGTGATGTGGGAAGGAGCCAAAATCTCTCCAAAGAGACATGTGGTTTGGGGTGCTCTGCTTGTGGGGTGCCAGTCTTGAATAAAGCGAAGAGGTTTAGAAGTCGGTCCAAGGAAAAAGATACTGATAACATCCATCAGCTATAGGGGATGCTGATTTGGGAAGGAGCTGAGGTTTGGGAAGGCTTTGGGGAGGTCAGGCTGTGTGTCGTGGGGCACACTGCCTTCTCCGAGCCCCGTGGTTTGCCCTGTGCCAGCTCTGGCTCTGGCTGTGCTCTGACTGCCGAGCAAACCAAGTTTTGCTCTTCCCCGCCCTGCAGTTTGCTTTTTCTGTGCTAACTTTCTGCCATTTTCGTGATCTAAATCAGCTTCTCATATGATCTGTGGCGTGCCAGAGTGCATTCGGCGCTCAGGGGAGACGTCTGCGACAGGAGGATGGAGGGAGGCAGGGGAAGGGGACGAGCTCCCCGCTGCAGTAGCTGCGATCTATTAATTCAGCTCAAGCTGTACCGAGAAACCCTACCCTTATGGTGGTGTAGCCGAAGGGAGAGGTTGTCTTCATCGGGAGGAGACAGGCAAAGAGGGCTGCTGCAGGTCTGATGCACCACTTGAAGAAACACCACCAGTTTTCCCCATTTTTTAAAGGCCAAATCCAGGAGAATCCTTTTTCAGCCACCCAGGATATTTGCATTTGTCCAGTTCCCAGACACTGATGTGTAGAAATGAAATCTGTGGCACGTGGAGGATAACTGGTGGTGTGTTAATAAATGATCACTGCTATGAGCTCTGCTAAAGTAGACGGAAGAGAAGCTGCAAATGTGATCTGTCTGTGCTTAATCTCCGCGATCACCCCTTTAATAAAAAAAATATTAAAAAATAATAAAAAAATGGGTTTTAAGACTGCTGTAAGAATGTTTCAAAAAGAAATTCTCTTTTTTTTTGGCCATGTGGAGTATTTGTTGTTGAAGCATCAGAAGGGAAGGGTCCCTCAGCTGGGGCAAACCCAGCAGCTGGAGCTCTCGTCTGAATATTTTGCTCTGTGTGTGTTGAAGGGATGGGTGAAACGCCGGTGCTGACGCTTCTCTCTCTTCTCCAGGGTCGACATGTCAAGACGGGTCAGCTGGCAGCCATCAAAGTCATGGACGTGACTGAGGTGAGTAGAGAAGCATCCTGCTTTATTAGTAACGCGGGTGAAATCCAGCGGCGAGGGTGCCACGTGGCTTACAGCGGGGTGGCGTTGAAGGGCACGGTCCTGGCGTGTGGATGCTTGCTCGCTGCTTGCAGGGCCTGACCTCTCCAGCCCATCTGCCCCTTGTGGGATTTTTGCTTGTGTGCTGGGGCCTCTGGCCTGCACAAATGGCCTCGGCTGGGCCCAGGACACACCAGCACGTGTAGCACTCCAGAACTGCTCAGAAAAAAGGCAGATTCCCTGCTTCCCTCTTGTATTTTTTTTCTTTCAAATGTAACACCTTGCTTCTGCCTTACTGAGGAGGAAGGCGAGGAGGCTGCTCGAGGGAGAGGCCGGTAGTTTCCCCAGTGCATGTGCAGCCTGAAAAGGGTGTGCGTTTATTCAAAGGAAATGGGTCCAATAAAGTTCCCAGAAGCCCAAAAGCAGAAACATCTGCAGGAACGATGAGCAGATTGCTGGCAGAACTCAGCAGTGTAAAGTAGTAGTTGTAGCTGACCCAGGGGGATTTACTGTGGAGCTTTAGATGAGAAAGACGGGAAATTAACCCAGCCAGAGAAATAGAAAATATATGCCCATACGTGAAGCCTTAGCTGCCTCGTAGTTTGTGCTGCTCAGAAAGCAAACAGCTTAAATTAAGTCTTCAAAACAGCTCAGAAAAGCTCGAGTTTTCCCTGTTGGTTCCAGTTCTGTTTTACGGGGTTGCATCCCCAATTAACATAGCAGCTTCAGCCTTAAAATTGAACGAGATCCCCTCGTGGGATATCTGTAGCTCCTGGCTGGTGTTGTGGTGCCTCGGAGACGTTGTGCGTCTCCAAACCCAGCGTCTTCCCTTTCTAAGCTCCTCCATCTTCTCCAGGCCTTAGGGGAAAAATTATGTTAATGTGCATGCATTGCACAGGGCAGGGGGTCTTTGGCAAGCTGCTCATGTTAAGCAAAAAATCCTACGAGGATATTGCTGCAGAATGTTTTCTGTGCTGCTGGCGTGTGCAGGGGCCTTGGCGAGTGAAAATGGGCTTGGAGACAAGCTGCAGGGCGGGTGGCCGAGGTGCAAGAGGCGACCAGGCAGGAGAGGGAGGAAAACAAGGAGGTGGGGGTAGGTTAACTGGTAGGACTCGAGTCCTATCTCCCAATCTCCCTGTGATCGATGGGCGCTGTGAGGGCCGAGCCCTAACCTGAGCCGCTGTGTCTGCCAAGAGCCGGGCGTCCTGGCTGCGTTAGATGGGCTGATAACAAGCAACCTTCAGCTGCAGGTTTCCAAAGGCTGCCTTCATCAAAAGGCCGTGCTCTCTTGCAGAAGATAACGTGTGGACAGAGCAGGGAAGAAGGAAGGTGCGTTGATGTGAAGCAAACACTCTTTGCACAGCAGACGTTGCCACTCGTGCAGCATTCGAAGCACGGCACAGGCTCCTTCCGTAGCGTTGAGCTGGGCTGCGCTGCACGCGCCCCTCTGTTTTTAATAGCCTGGATTAATCACAACCAGTTGTGATGGAGGGGTTGCGCAGCAAAAGGAAAACAATTGAAAAACGCTGCGTGTAGGGTGGCTGAGCTCATGGCTTGAAACTCTCTGCAGTTCGTTGGCCGGTTTTGCAAGCTGTTTGTTGGCACTGTCTAGCTTCTATCTCACAGGCTCGGGCTTTTTTAGGGGATGAGGGCAGGCAGAGGGGAGGAGTTGGGAGATGTCAGCCCCACGCAGCTTAAAAAGTGTCGTCGTTCCTACCAGCGGAGCTCATGTGGTTTTGGTTCAAAGTAACGAGCCTGACGAGGCCAAAAGTGTGGTGTAAATTCTTCCAAGTCATGCTAAGCCAGCCCCACTTCTTAACACCAGGCACGGACGGCACAGTTGCGTGTACCACTTCCCTGGTGGCAGAGGAGAGAGGGCTCAGGGACAGCTCAAATTGATGGTGCTGCCAAAGATGGCCTCACGGTCAAGCCGTGGCTTGGTTTCCTCAGGGGATGCCTCCCTGAGCATCTCCTGCTGCTGGCAGGCAACGTTTAAAGCAGCTCTATCATCGTTGTAGCTCACGGCAACTTACAGGGATGGTAGGAGGAGAGGATTTGGGACAGAGGTGCAGCGGAGGTGTGAAGTGACTGCCACTGCTCGGAAAGAAATGCCGAAGGAGCCACAGCCTCAAATTCACCTCCTCCACTTGCTTTGAGAGCTGCATTTGCATGAAAGCTCTGGTAGACGAACGGTAACTAACCGAGTAGGTGCCTTTGGGGAGAAATGCTTGAATGGGAACTCTTTTACAAAACTGAAATTGTGACTTTTATGATGAACAGCTACTGCAGCTGCAGGTGATTCGCGCCTGGCTACGTGGTTTGCTGCCAGTGCCATGTCTGAATGCTCAAATCCGAGCGGTGCGGCGGACGATATCTGATTGTTTTGTCTCACCTGCGTGGAGAACACACAAGACTTTCTTTCTTTTCAGTTACCTCTGATCCAGTGCTCGCTTTGCCAAGCGCTTAAAAAATTAGAAAGCCTAATGTGTTGGCAAGCTGCAGGGGCACGCCCCAGATTTTCAGTTTTTGAGGCCCAATTCTGCAGTTCCTGCGTTGCTCAGGATCACCCGGGTTACATCAGCTCTGGGCTGCGAAGCTTTGATTCCTCCAAACAGGAGGAATGTCCAAGTCGAAGCAAAGGCTTCCCTTGAAAAGTTTTGGTTGGCACGAAGAAAATGAGGTAGCGTAACCTCCAACTAGCAACGTTGGAAGAAACATTACAGCTCAAACCCAACGTGGCGCTTTGGAAGCGCTCTTCATCCGTCTCAGCTTTTCTTGTGGTTTGCTCTTCAGCTTTTAATTTCGAGAAGAATGGTGGTAAGGATGAGAAAAGAGGAGGTGGGCTGAAGATATCAGCTCCATCTTTGAATATATTACAACTAGTCAGCGCTGCTGCCTGGAACGACGCGGGGTGTCGGCGTGCAACTTGGCCGTTTCTTCCACTTCTCTCCAAACAAATCAAGGAAAGCTCTGTAAGATCATGTAGATCTCAAGGGATCCACAGACCTATAGATCCAGCCATAAAAGATGGGGAAGGTTTACAGCCCTACAAGCCTTCTTCCAGCATGGCATGCGTGTAGGTCGTGTTTTTGCTTTCTGAGGGTGAAGCTGGAGCACGTGGAGGGGTGAAAAAATGTCACTGGAGCATGGAGCAAATAACAACAAAACACCAGCATTCATCAATCACGAGCTGCTCTGTCGCCAGAGCGAGCTCAATGGCCTTAAAAGGGGAACGCCACGAGCTATCAGCATATACACACTTTGGGAAGGATTCTCCCAAATGTACATCTGGAGGCTGCCTCCCGGGCTGCGCGCGTGCGCTGGGGGAGGCCTCGTTCGAGAGATTCCTGCAGTCTGGCTTCAATCTGCCTATGGAAGTGTCTCTGCTCCTTATGGGGCACTGTTTTGGAAGAGTCTGCGTTGAGTCAGTGCTGACCCCTTCCCAAAAGGCTCTCGGTGACCGTGCTGCTGGATCTCCACGAGCTGCCTGCTGCACGCTGCTGTACGCGCTGCGGGATGCCAAGCGAGCCGTGACTGATGCTATCAGCTGCAACACGAGTATGCTGTGAGATTTGGCAGCCGCCCTTCGCTTAGAAGAATCCATTTTCTCGTGAAGCAAAAAAAAAAACACAACACAAAACCAACATTTAAAACCTTCGCGAAGCTTACTTGGCAGATTGGCGTGCATCTGAGCTTGGTAACTTGCCTCACGCCCCGAACACACGGCTCGGCTTTCTTTAACTCTTTGTGAGGCTTTCTGTGCAGCTGGGCCGTTGTTTCCACTGTCAGCCCTGTGTCCCACTTCCAGAGGTGCTTTTCTGCTTGGAAATCTTTGGTAGCTGATTTTGACGGGGAAAAAACACAACCTCTGGTTCTCCGTTTGTTGTAACCCCTGCCGCTGCCGCTTCTTCCTCCTACCTCTTCCCACACGCGCTCTTGGCATCCTCCGGGAAAGTTTTCCGCGTGCCTTCTTAATAGCAGCATCTCTCAGCTCCTGTGCCCAGCGTTTCCTGGCTTGTCCAGTCTAGTCTGGGTACAATTATGCCAAATAAACAACCGGGCGCTGTGTCCCGCTGGTTTATGAAGGAGGCTGCATCGCTCCTAGAGCTCGCTGGTCTTGCCCTTTCGGTAGGTGCTGGGCAGAAAAATGACCAACCCCAACCCAAAAGCTCCGGGCCTGCACAGAAACGCGGCACATCTCCTGCACCTCGGCAGGAAAGGTGACCGGGATTATTCACTGCAGCCTGCTGGTGGAGGAGGCAAGTCGCTTGGGTGCCTGTCAGCCTGTATCTGATGGTCCATATGGTGTTATAAACCCTGGCAGCGTAAATGATCTTACCCGGTGCCCGTAAAGCATCCCGACAGCGGTCTGCAGAAAGACTGCAGCTGCGTACAGATGTATGTGTGCTCCCAGCACGTGCAGGCAGCCAAAATGAGGGGAAAACTTTACCCTCTTACATGTTTTTTTTTTTTTTTTTTTTTTAATGAAAGAAACAAAAGATGGTCGATGGATCTTGATCTTTGTCTCACCTGAAAACCCAGATGGTTCCCATGGGGAGGGCTAGCACCCTGCTTGCTTGTCCCCCAGGCGTGAGGTGCAGCTGTGCAATATCTCCTGAAGCTGATTGAACTCTGGTTTCTTCTAGGAATTAAGTTGAAAAAAAAAACAAAAACAACTTGCTGGGAACTTGGGAACTTACCATTACAGGTCAGAGGAAAACAGAGCTAAGCAGAACGATCCCTTGAGCTGTAATACCTGGTCTGGGAGAGGGTTGAGAAGAGCTGAGGCTTACAGCCAGTGGGGCAGTCTTTTTGGAGCTGCAGGGAATATTTTTGGACCCGACCCAAGAAACTTTCCTGGAGCATTGCTGGCACCGCTTTGTGCAAAGGGCAAACTTTTAAACCGTGTTCATCCAAGTCCAGGGGTGGTTGGCGAGACTGTCAGGCTGGAGGAGCTTGCTGGG